GCCATTTAATTTTTGAAGAAAAATTACTCGAATTATCGTTCGACTCGAAGCTCAAAGGATTATATTCATCCAAGAGTCAAAAAATTGTCGTTTATTATACTTGATATGCTTCAATATGGAAAGAAAAAGATTATCATAATAGTTTAACAATGAGTTATACCAGAGACACATTTTGTAGCCCCAGTACCATCCACCAGTGGCGGCAGAGACCATCGCGACAGGATTTCCAAATATGGACACCAGAAAATCGCCAAACTGAAATGAAAATTATTATATTATTATTCGATACTAAATTTTCTTCTTCGAAAAAAAAAAAGAAAGAAACAATTATCCGATCATTCTCTTATCTTATATCTTTAATGAGACATTCTAGATTAATTTTACAAAATTTAATTAACGAAATGAATACTTAACATTTTTGCATTGATTTTTTTAAAGAAAATATGTACATGTTCGACCTTTTTCATTACAAACAATAAGTAATCTAGTAGATAATTTAGATTATGACATTTAGATTATACTAGTTGTTTAAATGTGTTTTTACAAAGTTCTTCCTTAACCAGGAAATTTTAATCCCTCTTTCTTGAGTCAATATACACAGGAAGAGAAAGGAAAATATACATTTAATTATCCTTTGCTTTTACGATCCACTTGTGAAATTTTAATTTTGACAAATCGAAAACGCAGAAGGAAGAGCGCTATATCGATACAGAGGAATGCGTTCCTTGTAGAAATCTTGTTTTTTCTACGTTCTTCTGTAATTTTTGTGGAAATATTAAATATTCATGTTTTTTTTTTCCCAGATTGTTTCGTGGAATTCAATTTGAAAAAGGTGAACACACACGAAACTCAAAAAACGGATGAACTCTGATTTTGGAGCTGTGTTGATTTCTTGATTTTTGAAAAGTGTATAATTAGTAAAGAAGATTAAACTCAATCAAATGGAATTCGACTACACAAAGGATGCAGTGAATTCCTTTTAAAAGAATATTTTTAGAAACGATTTTAAATATTCCTTCTGTATTTGAGACTCTTTCGCTTTTCGTAGCTTGTATGATAAATAATTAAATCTCTTTGCAAGCGTAAATGCTTTCAGGCCATCACGTAACGAGTTTCGAACGTCTAAATAGACTTACTCAAATCCAGACGAAATATATTATCACGAATTTAATTTGGCTTGATTTAGGAACAGCAACACTCCTGAAATTTATACATTTTATAATCAAATCGAGGATGGATAAAGAAAAATAAAACAAGTTGCGCGAAATTTCTTTTAATTTGAGAAAAATTAAAAATTAAAGATTAAAGTTTAAAAGTTCAATCCAAAGAAAGAAATTTTTAATTTTTAATTTTTTTTTTTGTTAAATTCTTTTAATTTCTTTTAATTTGAGAAAAATTAAAAATTAAAGATTAAAGTTTAAAAGTTCAATCCAAAGAAAGAAATTTTTAATTTTTAATTTTTTTTTTTGTTAAATTCTTTTAATTTCTTTTAATTTGAGAAAAATTAAAAATTAAAGATTAAAGTTTAAAAGTTCAATCCAAAGAAAGAAATTTTTAATTTTTAATTTTTTTTTTTGTTAAATTCTTTTAATTTCTTTTAATTTGAGAAAAATTAAAAATTAAAGATTAAAGTTTAAAAGTTCAATCCAAAGAAAGAAATTTTTAATTTTTAATTTTTTGTTAAATTTTCAAGCTTCTCCTCGAGAAAGACAATTCCTCCTTTTCTTTCACTTTTCTCAATAAACACCTACGTTCTCAAGCACATGCATCCGCGACAAATCCTTAATATTCATTTTCAAACTCGCTCTTGATTAAAGAAAAGATTCAAATTGATCAAAGCAAGATTCAAATTGAATCGATAACGATTTCATTAGCGATATTCACTCGTTCTTCGATGCTTTAAAAAAACGTATTGGATTATTTTCTAATTCTAATTTTTTTTTTTTTTTTGTTCAATACGAACAGATATCTAATTTATTTTAATCGAGATAAAATAATAAATTTGAAAATGATTTTCGTAAAAGAAGATATTTCGTATTGAAGAATAGAAAAATGATGAGGGACAAAAATATTTAATTAAACATTGAATAACGTAGAAATGAGAATTAAAATTTCTTTCAACTCATTGTAATCGTCCGACAGAAATTTAATCATCGATGCAACGTTCATTAACAAATTTATGGCATTTAAAAAGAAAAAAAAAAAAATATCAGGAGAAAAATATCAATTTTCAAATTATTTCCACAAATTTCAATAATACTTTCCGTAGACAGAATTTTAACCAATGAGTAAAAAATTTTTTTGCAAATCGCTCAATTGAAATTCATCAAATTAAATTTTCACTCATCGATCTTTTTTATCGAATTAATAGTAATGGAATTTTGTATCCCTATGACGATGAAATTAATTGATTTTTAAATTTTTAAAAAAAAGTGCGATCAAAAAATTGTACATGTTGTTTTACAAAGGAAAAAGACGCGATAACGCGAAGCAATGCATTTTTACACGGTACGTAAAGTGGAAGCAACGCGTCTTCCATTCTATTCTAACCGCAACACTGCGCATCCCTTTCGATCCTTATCTACAAACTATTCGCACATACACGAACCTCAACATTTCCTATACGCGTTGTGCACGAGCAGAATATTCCATCTTCGATTTATTTCTAATAAACGCGTTTAAGTTAAGTTGAATAAGTTCGCACGACGAAACGATCACTCGAAGAATAATATTTAATTAATATTTAAAAAATATTATAAAAAAAGAGAGGAAAAATTTGTAACGAAAATTTCGCAGAAAACTCAAACGAGTAATTATTATTATTAAGAGTATTGTTACCGTCATTATCACTTACGACTAGATTAAACAGAATCACGTTCACAGGGGTCCAGAGTATCTGCGCGTCCTTGACGATCACGATCGCCACCAAGAGATTCGCAGTGAACCCGAAGAATCCTATAAATCCCAACGCGATCGCGGCACCAATGTACATCACCGGACTTACTTGATCCTCGTAAATAACATGCTCCATTGTGCTCAGGTTCAAAGACATTCCTTCTCTCGTTCCTTCTCTTTCCCTTCCTTCTTATCCCTTCGCCCTTCCTTGCCACCTCGCGGGGCAAGTAAATATCGAAAGGCAAATCGAAAACTCGACGGGTAAAAGAGAAGAAAGGGAATCGGGTGAAACGCCACGTGTTTTCCCCGATTGACACCGAGCGTGCACGCACACACGTAACTTCGAAGGAATTTTCGAATTATTTTATTTTCCTTTTTATTTGTATTATTTATCTTCTCGTGGGCGGAGGAGCGAAAATCGGCTCGCGTGTGCCGATCAAAAACAAATGTATGGCCAAGTTTCAAAGTCTACCTACCCTTATATAAAGCCCGGATGAAACTACCCTCTTTCCTCCGACCGCACTGGTAGCCGCCTCCTCCTCTACCTAGTCGCAGCTGCCGGCTAAAACCAAGCGTACAGAGAGAAACAGCATGCGCGAGAGACCGTGCCACTGTATCGTAAAATCCCCCCGTTTATACGCCAAGGGCGTAGTAGATTGTGATTCCATTGTCGAGAAATCAACACGTGGTATAATATATTTTTTTTTTTTTCTTTTTTAATCCACCCGACGCGATCAATTTGCTCCCTATATTCCTTTTTCGATTATTATTCTTGCCACTTGGTTCAAGGATATTCCCTTTTGAGGATAGTGATAATGGAGTGTAAATCTGGTCACGCCAAGCGACGTTGGCTTCTACGCAAAAGCGGTGAAAGAATGGACGATACGTTGCCACGTATATTTTGTTATAATTTTACGCCTGATTCTTCGAGTTTTGTTTTGGATAAGTGATTTTTGAAATTTAAAATTATTCTATAAAGAGAAAAAAAATGAAAAAATGAAAAAAATTATGATGTAATCTGATATATAGTTTTCGTTTTTCAATTTTTAAAGAAATCGTTTGTCAGCCAGCTGAAAAGTTTATAAATCCGATTAATCTCGGTAAAGGGGATTATATTCATTATTCGTGGATTATTGTGAAACTTACGTTAAATAAATCGATAGAGGATCCCATCGATATAACGCAATAGGTTTTTCTTTTAGTAGATTAAAAAGTTACGTCATAATTGGAAAAAAGATCACGATATCTTTTTGTAATCACGAGACAAAATTACGAAACGAGAAAAACAAAATGATTGTGGTGAAAAAAAAGAAAGAACGTAATTTGGCAATTTTATAAAGAACAGACAATATTTTTTTTATTTAATCGAGTCGTGACAATTATTTTGCTATAGCAATTTGTATATATTTAAATTATAACTTACAATATAAAAAGTATGTTTAGTACTATTCGAATCAATTTACATGTCTTCTGTATCACTGTCTGAATCTTCTGCCATTGCTTGCTTCGCTTTTGCCTCAGCTTCAGCTTTTATATTCGCTGGTATACGTTCGTGTTTTCCATTGGTATGCTTACCAACCCAACTCATTTCAAGTTCAAACTGCTTGTCTTTCAATTCGTCGTGAACTAAATAAATTATACGCGCAGCTTCTTTTACCAATTCATTACAAGTCATTTCGGATAACTTTAATTTTTCTATTTCCGTTTTTGCGGATTGTTTCGCTTTGCCTATGAAACAATATTTTTAAGTAATAGAATATATTTAAAAAAATGGAGAAAGATTAATTATTTAAACGTATAAATTAAATTACTCACCAACAGCGCAACCATAATATCCGTATGAAACACCAGAAGGATCTATCATATACATAGCTGGACCGTCGTGTTCATAAGCACCAAGAATTACGGAACAACCATAAGGCCTAACTGCCGAATACAATGTATAAGCGTGCATATACATGGAAACTCTTTCGTTTAAATACTTTAAAGGGATACCAATCCCATATTGGGATTTATAGCTAGATGCTTCGGATCTAGCGATTTCTACAATTTGTCTAGCATCGGAAATCAAACCAGATACTGCCATACCAACGTGTTGGTCTATATTAAATATTCTTTTATTTGTTCCAGCTTCATAGAGCTTCGAAGTAACTATTTTTTCTACTGCAAATACAATGCCATCCTTTCCTCTTAATCCTATAACTGTTCTATAAATATAAAAAGTATATAAATATGATTGTCAAAGAAATAAATAGAACGACGATAACAAAATGAAGTAAAAGAATTTAGAGATTCTTTGTATAACGATATTCTTAAAGATTGAATAGATAAATTAGTAAAGTAAATATCAAGAAATAATCAAAAAATAAAATAAACATTCACCCTCCATTTTCGACAGCTTTTTGTGCATATTCTACTTGAAATACACGTCCGTCCGGTGAAAATTGAGAAGCAGACAAGTCATACTGAAAATCATAAAGAGGTTAACTTTTATTGTTTGTCATTAATTAATGGTATTTTCGAAATTTTATTCGAAATTATATTTTAAATATTTACCCCTGTGCCTATAGAGCTCATTTTTCACTCGGTCGTAATTACAAGTACTTCAATACTTTTAAATACAAAAATTGTTTATACACTTTACGGCGTGAATAGGCGAAAATCAAAACTTGATCGTCAGTTTCGTGTGTTTGGTTAGGTATCAAACTATCGAACCGACATCTGACGGCGATTGCGAAAACTTTCAGTAGTTTTCAAACGTTCACAGTGATGACACATGATTTCTTTGAAAAATGAATTAAAAGGGAAAAAACAGATAAAATGATTGTTTATTTATTAAAATTTTAAATATACGTGTCGTTTAAGATAAGATTTTTTTCCTCGTTATCTTTCATCAATGTGTTTTTTTGGAAAAGTATATTTTATTTACCGAAGAACATCAAAACGTCATTAAAGAATATAGAAATGGCGCATAAATAAAAAATTCGAAATTAGAAGAAAAGAACAGGTAATGAAATTTATAATAAAATATTAAATTATAAAAATCCTTTATGCATTTTATTCTTCTTTCAAATAATATTAAAATATTAATATTCGAATAATACTACAGGTTCTTTCGAAATATTAAAAATTATTTATATCCCTATACTTTCACTTTCTATTTTCTTTCAAGAAATTCTTAATATTCTCCTTTTTGCAAGTATATTCAGGCGGACAGCCATCTGTAACACCATGTTCGATGGCTTTTCGAATTTCTGCCAATGTTTTCTCGTACGTTCCTTCAATTAACAAACCGCTAAAAATATATTCGATTATTAAAAATTAAATCACTTTGTTGTGTTTAAAAATATTCACTGGTTATCAATTGAAGAAGGAAAATTTAATTTAAAGAACAACATTACTTCAAACTACGTACTGTGGCAACAATTTCATTGTTTCAATGATTATTTCTGCAGCTCTTAAATATTCCTTCGCAACGTGAGGTTCTTCACAAGCTGCTCTATATAGACAAGTATCTCCCATTAAATATCCCAATGCCAGTGTAACCTCACCTTCGGATACTACGTTTTCTGAAAGTAAGTTGTTAATTTCAATACTTGAAAATTGATTCAATCCCTATAATAATTTATCACAAAAGACCTTCTTCCAATTCACGCCCTTTGTAACCATGATTTCCTAAATATCCTGCACCAAAAACGACCGCTTTCAATACCAAAAGCAATAACAAATTTGATAAATTTAGATTCAACACCTGAAACAATCATGTTTTAATTAAATTAAATATCTTTATACTTTTATTTATCTTACAATTTCTGTCCAGTTTATCCAATTTATTTTTTTTATATATTCTTTCAAATTCTTTCTATCATCTTACCTGGCTGCTCGTCGAAGATCTTTGCACAAGTTCCTTCGCTATTTCCATCAACATAGAGCCACCGTGTTTCTTGTTACTCGTCTCTTTAAGAAATTGAAACTCACGATTGCCATCCGCATTTCTGGCAAAAACTCCATAACTCACCAATCCAAATACGATCAAAATTCTCGCATTCAACATTCTTCTTCGTTTCGTTATAAGCAAAACTGAATTATCCTCGTTAAACAATTTAAAAAAAAAAAAATTCTATTTCAAACCAAATTGTCCACCGTACGAATATATTATGCAAAAAAGTTTTCTTTTTCTTTTTTGCAATTTCTTATTGAAAAAAGAATAGCGCGCATACCACGACACGATATATCAAAATGGCATCGAGCTCGATGGGGACGGTAATTTTTATAAGGCGACATTTTGTCTTGCCATCAAACCGTAAACTCTTATCTTGTTGTGCATCGAGCAAACAGAGAGTGGCTCGTGTCTCTTTTCTCCCATTGTGATTCTTTTCCACGCAGAATCGTTTAATAACGTTTATTAACTAAACGTTAAAGCAGACTTTCTTTCATAAAGATCGACGGAAATAAATGGTGAAAGCTTTGCGACTTTTACTTTATCGAGACATCTTTGCGGATATTTATTTAAAAATAAAAAAAAATATATATATATCCTTCTTGATGTTGGGTAAGAAATTTCAACGAATGGAATCGAATATTGCGACGAATAATATTTGTAACGAAAATAGATGGATAAAATAGATAAAAATAGGTTTTTAATTGACGATATGTAGACCATGTTCGATATAAAATATGCATCGATCATGGTCTATGGTTCGTCCATAAGCAATCGAAAATGAGAATCATTCAAATATTCATCCAAAGTTTGTCAAGAAGAAGAATAAAAAAGAAAAAAAGAAAGAAAGAAAGAAAATTATATTTTCGAGCTTTCTCAAATGAGAAGATTCATTTTTCGAGGAATCTCGTTAATGTATTATTAGTTTGGATTGCCTGTTTATTACTTAAAATATTAATAACATCATCGAATCAATGGATAATTAAAAAAAAAATTATTTATAATATTCTCTTATTATAATATTCAATGTTTTATTTTATCTTTTACCGCGTATAGAACGGAAAGATAACGCATCGAGGTTTTCAAGACCTGGAAATAAATACAGAAAACAGAGATAATTATCGCGAAGATTTTTTTTTTTTCTCAAAATTGCGAAATTAAATTAAATTATAATGAATATAAGTGAATATAAGAGAACGATGCAAATGTACGTTGTACACGTGTTTCTTTCGCACACTCACCTCGGAGAACAGTTGCAGAGTGAAGGAACAAAATCTGCCTGCTGTTATAGTTAACGGTGACTTGGCACGGCACATGACAATTATAAGCATTCTTGTGATCTTTGGGGGTAGAGTGTACCATTCGGTATTGTACGCAGCGTTAGCTATTTCCATGCTCTGGAATCGCAAATTTTCCATGAATATTCAAACTGTATATGTTTATAATTATGTGTTGAATAAATTTTTGTAAATTATTACAAAAAACGGGGAAATGTCGATTTTTAATTAATTTCTCCCTTTAGAAACGATGTACCTCGACTGAAAGTCTCTCGCCCACGTAACAATACAAGTATAATTGCAACATCACGTAAAATACATAGATAAACAGGAACATTAATTGGAAATACAAGTATTCTTGCGCTTCTCCACTGCCAAATGACTATAAGTGGAATTTAAAAAAAAAAAAAAAAAAAAAAAAAAAAAAA